GCTATAATCCGTTCCACGTGTCACCCAGCTCCATTCTCTTACAGTGAGTGCAATTTCCTTTTATTAAAAAAATGTTCATTTAATTTTAAATGTATTTCAATTAGGGCTGTCAAAGTTAATGCAAATTCCTTTTAATGCCATTCAGTGGTGGAAGAAGTACTTAGATCCTTTACTTAATAAAAGTAGCGATAGAACAGTGTAAAAATACTCTGTTACAAGTAAACGTCCGCATTCAAAATGTTACTTAAGTAAAAGTACAAAAGTATTAGCATCAAAATATACTTAAAGTATTAAAAGTAAAAGTACTCATTATACAGAAAGGCAACATTTCATATTCCTGTATATCATATTATTGTATTATAATTATTTAATGTTACAGCTGGTAAAGGGGGAGCTAGTTTTAACTAGCTTATATGAATTTAATTTGAATCACTGCTGGGTAGCTTGTGAATTTTCCACCATAGATCAGTGAGGTAGTTATATTATATCACATTTTTATTAATCTATTTATGAAAAGTAACTAGTAGCTAAAGTTATACAATAAGTGTAGTAGAGTAAAATGTACAATATTTACCCCTAAAATATAAAAAAGTCAAAGTATGAAATAACAGAAAATGAAAATACTCAACTAAAGCACAAATACCTCGAAATTGTTCTTAGGTACAGTACGTGAGTAAATTAACTTTCCACCACTGTTTAGAATACATTTTAAAAAGTGTGATTAATATGTGATTAATCTCAAGCCAACAATGGACAATAATGCGATTATTCGTGATTAAATATTTGAATCCACTGACAGCGCTAATTTTTATTATTTCATATTTGTGATATTTTACTTTAATACAGTTTGTAGTAACATTTCGTATGCACTGCCTCTGAGTTTTGTTTTCCAGTGCTTCATTTTGAAAAGTGCAGATGCTCAATTACAATAAAATTACTGTAAGTACGAGCTATACTATCTTCTAGTATAGTACCTTATGCTGCTGACACTTAAATGTCTGTTTGCTCAGTTATGTTTATCTCATTCTGATGTATAGAAGCTGACAGATTGTTTTCACTTGTTTATTACAAGTATTAGAGTAAACATTTTTTCTCATGCTATTTTATGAGTCTATTTCCAGGTTTCTTTTTATATAATTCTTTTTCTCAGCCAGGGTGTTCTCCTTGTTTCACCAGTTCAATAATGCGTCATCAGTTTTACTGAAATATTCAAATCCAAACTCATATGTTTGCTACTTTTCTTACTGTTCTGTGCATGTTTTTACTTATGTTTCTCTGTATTTCACTCAGACAGAAAGTATCTTGTAACTTAGGAAGTTTTAAGACCTAAATGTTTGAACAAACCTCAGCTATGTGACGTAACCTTATGTTCATGGAGAGTGTCTGTTCAGATTGTTTACTTATCTCCAAACGACTCGGGACAGGAAAAGGTCCTCTTCCATGTTATTTTCTGTTCCCTGCAGACTGTCTGGACTCATTCTCATCTGGGTGAGTTGTCATCTGTCATTCCATCTTCAATCACACACACTCTGTCGGACTCTCTTTCTCCTCCCACTATCACTCACTGTTCTTTTTGAAGAGTTATTTCTCATTTACCCAGATGTCTCTCTTGCCTGGATTCATGCTCTCTGACCCTGATCTTACTTTTGATTTCATCTTTTTTATTAATTTTGAAAAAGCTCCAGTTTTCCTTTCTGTTTTACAGAAACCCCACATACAAACAAGAAAAGAAACACAAGTTCAGCTGTGTGACTGCACAGTAAGTACAATTTTGTTATATTGTTTCCAATTAGGATTGTCTTCATAAATTCCAGTTTTTATTGAGTTCTGGTTTTGATTTTGTCGTATTTTTCAAGGAAAACAGAAACCATATTGGTTTTTAACGCCAACAAATCTCATGCTCAGATTTTGTGAATCTTTTCAGTTAATGACCAAAATATACATAGCTTTCCCAGCAGATGATGAATGTTTGTTGTTTCACTTTTAATTAAAGGATCATGGTAGTGATATTGGTTTTTAACGCCAACAAATCTCATGCTCAGGCCCAAACCAATAACATGTTAGTTTAGCTTTCAGTACTTTCTGACTTCATCTGTCAGAAAGGCTTTCAGGTCAAACCATTCTTTAATTACAATAAAATAAAAGTCAATTTGACTGGCAGAAGATTACTTGACTGAAGGTCTGATATACTGTATGTTTAAGTTCCACAACCATATTAAAGTTTGGTTGCTGTGAACTTCCACTTTCCTCTTGGTCCATATGCAGATAGCAGATATTCAACAGATTCTAAGTGGCAGGGTATTCAAATTAACCCAGCTCTCACTGTGCTTACTTACACGATTCATGTTGGTAAATGCAGTGAAAACTTGAAAAACTGCAATTCTGCAACAGCACGGTGTATGTTGAACTGAGTCAAAATAATCTACAGTGAGTGTGTTCATGGTGGTGAAGGAACATGTCACCCAGTACAACGGTGTGGTCACTGATGTGCTTTTAACAGTTTTTAGACAACAGTGTAGCTCTGTGACACAAAGGAATAAGATATATTAGGCTTTGGATACACACAAAACTTGTTAGTAGGTTGCATTTATTATTGGTCTGAGTCTGCACATGGGACAAAAATGTTTCAATATCACTAGATCTGTATTTTAATCATATATTGCACACATCTAGAATACATTACGTCACATTAAGCCCTAGCTGTTGTGACATTGTATGGCCTGTTCCATGAATTAGCATGGCTAAGCCCCCACCCCCCGCAAAATTATTTCACCGTCATGGGGTGTCTACTCTAATGAATGACCTTCCCTGGTTATGCCACAGATGCAAAAAGCACCAAAGAGGCTGAGCATTGCTGACTTACAGCAGGAAGTCAGGCCACAGCTCAGCAATGAGCTACTATCCTGGGAAACCAAATCTGTCTTAAATAAACTGTAACCTTGAAATATACTGACTGGAACTAGCTTAGTGGGACATCTGAAGCTGTATTTGAACTCCAGACAGTCTATTTTTGCACAGAATGAGGGCTGTGTATTTTATCACATTTTTTACAGCATAGTCATGTTCAGTGTGGAAACCTTCAGGACCAGTGTAGAGAGAAAGAAACATTGCAGTGACTAATGCCTATTCTTGTGCAGATATGGACATGTCAGTGTTGTTATGAGACTAATTTGAAAAATTCCTAACCTATCCTTTGAATCTGAGTTGGACCCTGCTGGTTTCTGGTCCTCAGACTTGTGTCATGACAACGTGTCATTAGTCACAGAGTTTTTAGTCATAGACTATGATGTTGCAAAGACTGGGGATCTTGCAGGGTCACTATTTGCAACTAGATTTCTCTGGAGACTACTTCCCAAAAACAACTCCACCAGTTTCTCCTTCTTTGTAAAGGTCCAATAGAACCTGGAGTCTCCATCATATTTACTCATAGATATTTTATGTATTTACCATTGTTTCTGTGCCCGCTATGCTGCTTCCTGTTTGGCAGCTCACCTATTGGTTGTTTATGATGTTCACATCACTCTCTGCATGAGTCAAGAGTAAATTAAACATGTTTGATTTTATCGGAACATCACCAAACGATTGAGATGCCTTGAGCGCAACACGGCTATCGCAAGACTCTCATGATTTTAATCCAAAACTGGAAATTTGTCTGTGATACAAAATCACTTAAAAAGTTAAGTGTAAGGCCGGCATTAAGTGTTTCCACTTCCAAACAATGATTTTCCAAACACCATTTGAATGAAAGCTTGGCTCCTCATGTGTTCAAGTGGTCGATGATGTTGAAGGGGAGCCACTTGTTCAGACATATTTTGATTCCACTTGTCATCAAATATCGTTAAAAGCTGAAGAGGTTTCACCCTCAGGTCCTCAGCTGATTGACAGGCAGATTATACTTCCTCTTGCTTTTTCTATTTCAATTAATGTAAAAATAGCGGTATGACAGAAACCCAACTAATCTTAAGAGCAGCTTACCCTTTTAATACATCTCGGCTCTTGGTCTCACCAGGTACCACCAGGGATAATCCTTCTTAACACTGTCTCAGACTGTGAGTCCCATTCAGTTTCTGCTCAGCACATCAAGGAAAAGAATTCCTAAATTCATTAGGATTCATGTAGTTGAGACTGTTTGCCGTAACAACAGTGCTCATTAGGGCTGTTTTAATTCTCTCAGCCTGCACTTATAGACAGATACATGAATGGATTCCTACCTCTCTTAAGTAACAGGATATTCCTCGAAGGGCTTCACCCATGGCAGTAGGAGAGGGGAGCTGGGTGAAAGAAAACAAAAAAGAGACAGAGAGATGGAATTTTTACCAAATTATGTATGAATCAAGCGCAATAATACCTGAAACATGCTTTTCATGTTTTGTCCAAACTCCACAGCAGACAAAGAAATGAGTTTACATTTTTGTGTAGGCTGTGTGCTCCTGCTGCATGTTACTGCCTGTCTGGTGACCTGATATCAGTATATAGCAGAGTGTATGCAGGCCTCAGCATTCTGCGCACAAGAACATGCAGTTGTGTCTACATTCTCGATAGCAAAATTATATATAATTTTGGCTCTTTGCCTGGAAAGATCTGTATGCACTGAGCCCTTTCATCAAAGTTTCATAATTAAATACCACCAGACAGATCTTGTGTCCTTGATGTTATTATTTCCATAGTAGTGAGGGTGCTTCTTTTTCCTTTCTGTGTTGAGCTGCTTTTGAAAACAGAAAAAAGTGACTACATGTTGCATTTTATAACGGTTGACTCCACTGTGTACTGTGGAGGAGTATTTGAAGGACTTCACTGAAGTGCAAATTTCTCAAGACAGAACTGTACTAAGTGATATTTAGGTTTCCTCGTGGTCTTTTACAAAACTAATACTGTAAATGTTTGTTAACATCTTAAAGTTACTTATTCCTGCACATATTATACTGTACATTTATATAATTGTAGCTAATTTAAAGGGGTGTTAAGGAATAAAATTAAGGTCTTTTTTATGAATGAGTAAATGACCCCAGTACAGTGTAATGATTCTACAATAATAATAATGGTGTCATGTAGCTACAACTGTGATATCATTACTGAAGTTTAAGCTCTGTAACAACAAAAATGATGTGTAACTTGTAACCTTGATATTTAGGTAGGCTCTAAATATTTTAACAATGATGTATAATTAGTAATAATAATGCTAACCTACGATTAGCTGCAAGTAGTAACATTATGCCATGTATATATTTACAATAATAATGAGGTTGTTTTTCACCTTAAAGTTACTTACTACTGCCAGTTTAACCTTTTTTTATAGTTTTTCAGAAATGTGTCAGGAGAACTGCCATTGTGTTGGGAAGGAAAACTACATATGTGATATAAACAGCAACGTGTGTTACCGGGGGCGGATGCTCCAAACAGGTGTGGAAATGTTTCCTCTGATTGGGTTTTACACGTTTCAGAGGCACCCGGGACTCCCCGATTAATTCATTATGAGTCAACTTGTCCTCGTCACACACAGACAACCTGGAGGAGAGGAAACAGATGAAAGATCAGTATGAAACACATTAAGGTTAGATTTCCCAATGTGTCTAAAGGGCAACAGAGTGAAGTATTTACCCTGGCCCACAAAATCTCCTGAAATCCCCCAAATAACCATTTTCAGAGTCAGAAGTATCTAAAGCCCAGTGTCATGTCTTCCAAACCCCTCATCTCTTCGGATTAACAGCAGAAACCCCCAAGATATTCATTTTAGTACCCCATGAGCACAGTTGAGAAACAGGAGCTGGAGAATATTTGGTATTTATTTCTAAAAAATGTCTAATTGACTAATCACTTCATCATAGCACTGATCTACTAGGAGGATTTGTCTTGATTTAGCTATTTAAATTTGTGTTTGATTAAAGCCATTTAAAAAATACAACATGAGTCCATTATTTTGGAAATGAGAAGTGATGTCTACAGACTACGACTCGCGACACATTCAGCTTATGAAGGTGAGAAAATGTTGCACTGACTGTGAAGAAACCTTGAAAATAAAAGTACATTTTATTAGTAGAAGACAATTTTATATTTGAAAACATCACATGGATTTCAAACATGTCAGAGCTTTTAAAGCCACATATAATAGGACCATGTGAATCTTTGATATTTCAAAAGCAAGTAACAGTTATTATCAGTGTTTATCAGATCAAAACCCTCTGACTGTGAAAGAACCACACACTGTTGATCACCTGTGTGATTATCACAAATAAAGTCCTATTTTTCCTGAGACAAGAGACAGAATTTCAAGGCAGGAAAAAACCCTGAATCTCTGTACAGACCTCTACCTGGAAATTTAACTTAAAAGACACCAGTTGAGATTTCCAGCAATGACTAAAACACCTTGATCAGGAGCTATAGGTGGTGAAGGAAACCCTCCTCCTACTGCTGCTGCAGCTCTTAAGCAAAGACATCGGTGTGATGGAGATCAAACTGTAGAAGTTGCCAGTTATAAAGTGCTAAAGTGTAGAGTCCTGGCACACGTCTCCTCCTCTAACCTTCACATACTGTACCTCCACAGAGCCAAGGAGATATAGTGAATATTAATGGATCTGGCTGAGCTGTGATCACAGGTCAGCCAAACATATTTGTGCTTAATTGGGCAAGGAGAGCTTGAGGAATACAACTGTAAGGAAAGAAAGTTTTTAGAATCAGTGTTGCACAGTATGGTGTGTCATTGTAGTACTCTGTAAAGAGCCATTTGGGTTTAAACATAGTGAGTAGGCTTTGGGAAGTGAGGAGGTTTTTTTTTAAACAGGAGGATTTTTTGAAATGTGTGGACAATTTTGGTCTGTGATGACATTTGTGGAGAGGGTAATAATTGTGAAAAATAATGTTTTTAAAGGTGAGATCTCTTTTTTGGAAAGTAGTGTAATTTATGGACGTTGAGAACATTTTTGTAAAATAAGAACACCTTACACAGTATACAGTGTTGGTGTATTTTGGGAAGTGAAGACAGAGACAGTGAGAAGATTCTTAAAAGGTGGTTTTTAGCTATTTTTGCAAAACGGGAGAATTACATCAGCTTTTTTGAAAAGTGAGAACAGTTGAAAGATATAAATGTAACGAAAGAATTTTTTTGGATATTTAAAGAAACCAATGAGATTTTCAATACCAAGAATATAAATGAGAAATAACATTTATAAATGCTGGTGATGTGCAATACAGTTTATTTCCTTTCTGATCCAATACACAGTAAAATCCCAGCTGGTATCGCATACACCAATACCAATACTGATGCCAAAATTTTGTACAAGACACTAGGGAAAAAGATGGGTGCAGACAACAGAGACTGATGGAGTAGATTTAAGGTGTATCTAGAAGGGCTTGCCACTTTTATTAATAACAGATGGTGCCACCCTGCTCACATACTATGTCACATGCTGTAACCAAGATACTGAACTGTTGGATTTGGGACTACATCCACACTACATTTATACATATAAAAACCCTTCACATGCCACCTTGGTTGCTGTTTATGTCCCTCCACAGAGCAACCACATATGACATCTGCTCAGAAGATTATCGGCTGCCCTCTCCTCACTCTGGAAGAACTACACAGTTCCCGCTGCCTCAAAAAAGCTCAGACCATCATTAAGAACACTTCCCACCCTGGATGTTCACTCTTTGAACTGCTGCTGTTCAGGGTAATCAAATCAAGGACCACTAGATTCAAGAATAGTTTTTACCCAACAGCCGTTACCACACTCAATGCTGCTGTATAATATGCCTGTGTGTGAGGGGTCTGTTGTTTATTTTGGGTTTTTTTTTAGCAGTTATGTTTTTATTTTATAGTTTATGTTTTTTTGTTTTTTTAATTGCCGTACCAACTGGAGGTCACTTTAAATTTTCATTGTACATGTTACAATGACAATAAAGATTATCTATCTATCTATCTATCTATCTATCTATCTATCTATCTATCTATCTATCTATCTATCTATCTATTTCTGTTGCTGAGAGACTACAGACTAAAAGTTTTTTTTATTTTACAGTGATTCTCGCATTTATAGAGCCATGTAGTATAGTTGACTATGACTATGACAGGCAGAAGGACGAGTAGTTTCTATCAACCAGGTAGACTGTCCTGGATAGGGTAGGTATTGTCTACCGTTTCTCTTTTGAAGATAAAATATACAGCTTAGTTAAGGTATTGATGTTTTAATATGGGAATCGATCCTAGAACAGGAAACATTGGGATGGGAGTTATTGATGTTACAGGATCGATCCACACAGCCCTAATAGATGCTATTTTTTTGGAACTGTCTTTTGGAATGTGGGGACATTTTAAGGGAGTGAAGAAATTTTGAAGGATGAGAGCTATGTGTGGGTGTTTTAATAAAACTGCATATGGAAAGAGAAAAGTTAAGTATTCCTCTGTATCAGTGAGGGTTCTCACAAGCATAGCAGTCTAAATGTTTGCGTGTGAGCAGTGTCGGCTTCTGTCTGGTGAATCTGAGGCAGGCTTGTCTTTACCGCTCACTGATGTTGACCTGAATTGACAGACTGAATGGCATGAAAACAAAGCAACAGCAACCTTCATACAGCACAGCTTAATCCAAATGAAAAGAAAAATCTCCTTTTCAACTTCCCAAATCAGATCAAAGGGGAAGTAGCTCCATTCTGTTTGTAGAGCAAGTGTAGGGCCAATAACTGTGCTGCAGTTCACCAGAGGAGGACATATTAATACTGTGACAAGACAGCCAGGAGTTTGGATTAAAGCAAATACAAACAGCATATTTAATGTGGAGGTAAACAATGTGGCAACACTGACAAAGACAGAGAGCAGCAGAGCCATATTGTGAGGTGCAAGGACTATCAAACAGCTGGGAAAATGTACTGTATATACAACATTTTGGTTAAATAAAATCACTCATAATGTCTGAAGCATGTGTGGGTGTGAGTGAGTGTGTGTGCACATGTATGTGTGTGTTGAATTTGAAGTTGACCTCTGGAATTCATCCAAAATGAATTTGTATTATTTATGAACCAAATCAGAATGAGATATACATCTTGACTTAAGGGCAGGAGCCAGCCAAGCTGCAATCCACAGCTTTCTATTTTGACATAATATATTTCCACACCCTGCCAGTTAACCTTTACCTACTTATCCCTACCCCTAAAACCAACCCTCAAACACCCATTTAACAGAACAAGAAACGGAAACGTTCTTACTTCTCACAAAAATAGAAAGGCACACACAGTACCCTTAGTATAAACCATAAAATGTCTTTGCTCACACTAGTTGAAGAGGAGTGAAAAAGTCTAATTCCAGAGATCCCTGAAATCTAGCTCAGCGCACCAAAGTCAGGGGGGCCAATGACAAAGAAAATCTTTAATCCTCATATTTAAGAACCTAGAAACAGCAAATATTTGACTGTTGCTTAATAGACTAATGAATCAATCAATTAATTGACTACTTGTTGTGGTTCTAATTAAATTGAAAACCCACTACCTACATAACATAAAGTGCACAGAAAAAAAGGACTCACCGGGTCTTTGGATTTACACAGATTATGCTAGCATATGCAACGCAATTCATTCATATTTCCTCTGTTAACATAATTCAAACAAGTTAACCCCTAAAGAAAATTATGTTGGTTTTACACATTATCATTGTGTGGGACCGATGTACATTACAATGAAGTAAATCCAACAAATCCTTTTTTTTCAGTGTGTACACTGTGGAAAATGTCAACTCATGTTAATTAACCATGCTAGCTAATGTCAGTTAGCAAGCTAACCCTGTTTTCTGGTATCTACAGGAGTAAACAGGCTGACATGCCAATATCAAATTATGAGTCAAATTCCAGGCCATAAACCTGAAAATGTCACAGTTAATGAATTATCTTGTATGTAGGAAACAGCATCAGACAAAAGAAACAGAACAGGCTGACGAGGGAACAGGTGCATCACCAGTGTTCCAGGTGAGCCTCTAATTATGAATTATAGTTTGGAATTATAGAGAGGATTCTCAGGATATTCAATCTATGCTCTGGAGTTTATTTTGAAAAAAGTCTTACATCAGGACAAGTTGATTTCATAAGATCCTGTTCACTCATGTTTAACATTGCTCTAAAAATAAATGAGTCCCAAATCATAAATATACAGTATATCTTAATGTAAATACTGGGAATGGAAGGGAGGGTAGTTAGGGATAGGCTCAAGCAGGGGAGGATGTTGTGTCTCTACCAATGTTGAGACCAATCCTACGCCCTTGGTCAAATCAACAGACACAAAGAAGGACAGAGTTATAAAATCCCAGGTGCGGTTTGAACATAACTTATAGGAGATTGATTTTCTTTTTAAAAGTATAGTATTAATTAAACTGAATCAGTCATATTGATGAGAGGTTGTTGAGAAATGTCTATCAATGTACAACATACACCACCCTTTCTTTGGATGAGATGAAACTGACAAAAAAAAAAAAATCCACCAAAGTCACAAATGGAGTTTTTCTCCAATCACCATTAAAATTCTTTGCAACATACACAAGCTCAAAGGCTGCTCTTCTTTGTAAAGTAACAAACATTTTATAGCCAATTTTTCATGCCTAGAAGAAGTAAGTGTTTGACACAGAAAAGCTTTACTACAGGGAGGATCCCTGTAGGGAGCATTTCTGAATGGGCAGATTCTGGATTCAAAAGATGATCACTTCAGGAAAAACCTGCTAATTAACATCCTTCCCAGAGATAAATGATACTTGTAGCCTAACACACACACACATTTTTTAGATTTCCCTTTGAGGTTTGTTCACAATTACACGCTAACTTTGTTACAGGTTTACCTGAGATTAAATGTTTGCTCCTGAGCTTTTTAATTAATGGCTTTCTGGTCTTCTCATTCACATTTCCTTTAATTATGTATACTCCTCTAGCCATTAACCAAGCACACACACAGACAAAAACAGACTCAGCCTTGTGCATTCATTAATTCATGATTAAAGAATGGGAAACACAGTGACACGTATTTAGCTCCTGTTGAATCCTTCCTGGCTGCAGCCACACCGGCCTTCAATTAAACAAAGAGCACATTTCACAGACACTTTTATGTTGTGCTTCCAGGTAAACAGATGGATATTTGTGGTGGGGGTTTACACAGGGAACAGGGAGAAAGATAGTAAAAAGATCACGACAACTCATAAATTCTGGTCTTAAATTAAGTATGAGTTCAGTGCTATTAATGTGGCAGGTTTCTGCTCTGGCAGTTAAATTAATCAAAAATGACAACTGAGCTTCATACTTGAATGTCAGGATGTTCCAGCGCTTGGTTAATGACTGTAACTGCAATCAGTGTTAAATAAAA